ATATGCAAGATTCAAAAATTATATATAAGTTTTATATTCTTTGCTATAATATTCTTTTCTAATACTATACTAACTCTTTTTTTCTTTTTCAACTAGATAAAACATGTTATTCATTATAACAATTCACTTTTAATATTTTATATGTTATTTGTGATTTTTTGTTTATATATTCTTCTTCTTAGACTAGAATATAAAATTCAATTTTTGTAATACGTAAGCTTTGAAAGCTTCATATTCTTTGTTATCATATTCTTTTTTAATGCTGTATTAACTCTTTTTTTTCTTCAACTAGATGAAATGTGTTGACAATTTACTTTTAATATTTCATATATTATTTGTGATTTTTTTGTTTATAATTCTCCTTAGGCTAGAATATAATAACAATATTTCTTATATTTGTAACCAATAATTGGATCTGTATATTTGTTACTAATTAATGATTATGATAAGTAGCTAACTTAATATTTAATTATTAATTTTGTAGCAAGGTGAATAGCATTGTACAGATTTGTTAGAAACATATTTAAAAAAGCATATATGTTTGTATATATTAATATGCATAAATAGTAATTATTTAATTAGTTAAGTTTTATTATATAGTTCTGCTAATTATAACTTGGATCCATCATATAATGTTTCAGTCATTTGTATATTTCTGTATTAATGTAAGTTATTATCAAATTTATATTACTCTTACCTTATTTAGCAATTTAAAATTATTTATCATAGCATTGAGACTTTATTATAGTGTGCAGTGTAAAAATTGGTTTTTTTAAGAAATTGCTATAATGAATTAAAAGCATTCAAAATTGTCATTTAGTAATTTAATGTTGTAGATTAGTTGGTATATTTGGCACAATTAATAATCAGAAGCAAAGTTTTAAATATGTAATGCAAAAATACTAATCTAAATTACTAATTTTCTTATACAATAAGATAGCAACATTATCAATTGTAGTTGATTTAAACTATATATGATATATATTTACTAACAAAAATAATAATTAATTAGAAATAATCTTGTACATAATAGCAAATAGTTGTCAGAATTACAGTAAAATGTCTATAAGTACACATTCTTGAAATAGAACTTTAATATGCATTTAAAGAACAATAAGAAGTATATTTATTAAATTTAAGTATATATTTAAAAAAGGTGTGCACTTGTGAAAAATTGATCATAATAGATTATTTGTCTTGTTCAATATTAGTATTATCAACAAAATTACATATGATTAATCATCACATACTATAGCTTATATTTATTGTATATGAATTAAAAAAATTACTGTTATTTCCTTGTGACGATTAAAATTACATGATTTTGTTGGCAACACTATTCAATATTTATGAATTAATTAAAATACATCCTATAAAAGCATTATATTTGATCCAAAAAACATTTATCAAATATAAATTAGTGAATATAACACATGTATATCAGGTTCAAAAATTTTTTTACAAGTGTCAGCATCATTATTTCACTTCTTTATGATAAAATTGAATTGTAAAGTGAAGTCAATAATAGTTAACATTTTATAAATTTTGACATTTCAACCCTAATCCCAACTAAATAACTACAACTGATTTTGCTAGCATCGTTCATCTTAATAACTTTTGATTCGATTATTGCAATAGGTTTTTATAGTAAAAAACTTGAAAATTCACTATATAGTACAGTGATTTAAATTTATAATTTAACCAAAAATTTTGTTAGTAATAAATCTTCGATAGCTTTAGTAAATAGTATATGTGTATGGCAAAGGTTTCAAGAGTTCATAAAAATTTTATTAAATTGATTGATTCGCAGAGTCGTCACATGACCCGTAATCTTGGATCGCCATCGTCATGGATCGGCAGCCCGGATAGATCGACGATGTCACGTGACCCGTAATTTTCGTGGCTGCCCTGGTGGATTCAATTTTTGGTGCTTATATAATCAATTATGATTGGCTAATTTTTGTGTAATTGATTTTGATTGGTTAAAAATATATATATGTTTTCTTTTTTTTTATATTAAACGCCAATTTTTTAAACTCATATAAACTTTAATCCTTTATAACTTTTTTAAAACAAAGAATAAAAAAAAATCCTCTGACAAAATATAATTTATCTAAAAATCTATCAATTTGTCAGAGGTTTTTTTGATTTAACCTGTTTTAAAAAAGTTATTACACTTCAAAGTTTTTATTAATAAACATTGGATGTCTTTTACTGTCCGGTACTGTATAAACTATTCACTACGTATACTTATATCGAGAGTCACTTGTACTAATAATAACTAATACTAACTAATAACTAGGGTTAAGATTTTTTATTTGTATATGAACCTCTTATTCAACTTAAAAATTTTACAGGGAGATAACCAAAGGCCTTAAAAAGTCAAAAAAAAGGACAAAATACTGAGACCTTTTGTTTTTCTTATCCTTCGATCAACACCTGAGCGACTACATATTCTCCGTCGTGTGCTACCGAAGCGTGAGTTTTTGAAATGATTATGTTATTTCCGATATTCTCAGGTATGTTAATAGTTATGTAAGGTTTTCCTATTTGGTAAATAATGTATTTCTATTATCACATACATACTATATTAACATCTCTGACATTAATTTAGAAATTAAAATTTTAAGAATAAATTATCTATCCGAATATTATAAAAAATGATTAATATTTAGACGATTTATTCTTGAAATTTTGCTTTCTGAAATAGCACACTGAGATGTTATTTTAAATAATACAGTAAACAAAGCAAATGTAGAATTAAAAAAGATCAACAAGATACAGTCAACCTTCCCCCTTGGAACTATAGGCAAAAATTTTGAGAATGTGCATTTAGAGAGGGTGTGCATTTATGGAGGACATTTTATTAAGTGCTCTATGTGCTTGAGACTTAAGATTAGTGTGCATTCAGAGAGGGTATACATAGTGCATGCATTTATAGAGGGTACATTCAGTGTTGTCAATGGACAGCTTTGGACATGAGTTTGGACATTTTTGAACAAAAATATAAATTAAAATTACTCACAATTTGTTAAGATAATCTATATACTTTTCTAAGTAAAAACTATTCAGAACCTAAAAAAATATATAATCATATATTTTTTAGACAAAATTATTAATTATTAGAGCTTGGACATGCTTTGGACACTCTTGGACATTTGGACGTTGGACATGGTCAAAAAAGCCTTGGACAGTGAAAAATGTACAATACTGGGTACATTTATGCTGTACAATGAAAGTATATAAACCTTTTATTTTTTTGATAGAAACATCTTTCCATGTTACACTATGGTGAGGATATAATGCTTTATACGTCGCTTCTTTTAAGGACCACCTGATTGGAAAATATAAACAATTAAAAAAATATATCTCCTTTAATTAGTATCAAAAAATTATCATAACCTGACAGCCAAATATGATACGATGTTATGTTCTATTACAGTCAAACCTCTATATATGCACGCTCTATAAATGCACACCCTCTATAATTGCACCCTATGCCTCAGTCCCAACTAATAATGACACTTATAAAACTACACTCTATAAATGCACGCCCTCTACAAATGCACACTTATGGTCAGTCCCAAGGGGGGTGCATATATGGAGGTTTGACTGTATTAGATGATTATCGCGGGTGTTTAAAATTGATGAAAATGTATAATGAAATTCTTTTGTTTCTTCAAAGGTAAGTATTCGGGATGTAAATCTTTTAAGAGAAAATGAGTTGCGGAAAAGGAGGGCTTTGAGACGTGGAAGGTGAATGATATCGATGCCTATTCCTAATACTGTATCATTATAGAACCAAATGTAATTATGCCACCAGCGTTAATTATGTTGACAAAGCCATCTTAAACAGGTGATGATCAAAGTCCAAATAGTTAAATCTGGATTTGAGTATATTTAGGATCATAATCATCACCTGTTTTTAATTACGCAATAAACAACTTTTGACCATCTTTAATCTAATAAATGATTATCGTTATATATTATTGAATATTTTGTTGAGCCCTAGTTAATTTTTAATATAAACGCTTTATAAATCTAATCCAAGTTCATTGGGCCCATTGGACCGACATCACCGCGTACAACGATAATCTTTCATATAACATTCGGATCGCGTCTTTTGTAGCTTTTACTAAAAACGAATCTAACAATGCTGGTGTGTAATATAAAGTTATTATTAAACTCTAACCTTTCAGATCGAAAGGACAATTATTTCTTTGAAGTGTTTCGGATTTCACGTGTGCAATTACAGTATTTTCGTCCATGAACGTTATTTCGAATTTTGGCCCGAATTAAGCTTAATTTAGGCCAAAATTCGAAATTACATCCCTGCGCGTTATTAGTATATATAATTGAGTGTATCGGTCAGATATAACGATAACCCTAATCTTTAATTTTAGTCATTTAGCACAGCTTTCGCTAACTTCAACAAAACACTCGTTTGGCTAACTAATCGACCTTTACTAAGAATATCAGTACACTATAGGGATACAGTAATTGAGTGAAAATTAAACTGCTTTAATACATTTTATTTGATTTTACCTAATATAATTACACATATTTTTTTAAAAAAAAACAATCTTAGAATCTTAAATTTATATATATATCTTATAGAGAATGAAATCCTAAATCCTAAATCAATGTATAATCATAGGTGAAAAATATTCTAAACCATATGCATAAAAACATTTTGCATAGCATAAATAATTTTAGAGTAGGATTAAACGACCAATATGAAAAATATATTGGTCGCTTTTTTTTGTGTTTTGGAGTTTTTGAAACGAAATCTAATTATATAAAAGAAAGCTTTTCAAAAGCATAGTTCGAACCCAGAAATAGTAATGATAATAATAATAATAGTTCAGAGTTTGAAACTCTTTTAAAGAAAAGACGATATTAAAAAAAAAAAATAAAATAAAAAATAAAATAAATAAATAAATACAAATTTACAAAATCCATACGTGTCAAATGTTCATGACCTATTCACAACGTCTTTTTTACTCATTTGACTCGTTGTTACCAAGCCATTGATCCAACATTTCTTTAAGTTTGGCAATTTTCAATGGTTTAGTAAGATAATCATTCATTCCCGATTCCAAACATTGTTCTTTTGTACCTTGAACAGCTGAAGCCGTTAATGCAATAATTGGAACATTGGATATTGGTGTATTCATAGTTCTTATTGCCCTTGATGCATCAAATCCTGACATTATTGGCTATTTGTTAAAATAAAAATAGTAATATTAATGATAATACGATTAAAAATTAACTTTTTTTATATAAATTAAATGGTAACTTACCATAGCACAATCCATCAAAATTAAAGCAATTCTTCCAGGATTAGATTCATCAGAAGTTGAAGAATCCTGAGAATAATTTGAATACTCTGATTCTATCAGATTTACAGCTTCTTGTCCATTTGTAGCACACAATGATGGATACCCGAGTTTTGAAAGTTGATGTTGAATAACTTTTAGATTTATGGGATTATCTTCCTATAATCGATTCAAAAAAAAAAAAGGATTAAAAAAAAATATATAAATAAATGTGAAATCTATTACTTAGAATTTGAAAACTTACCACACATAAAATACATTTTGATTTGGAAACAGGTCTAAATCGGAATTTTGATGCGCGATCATCAGTCGGAGCAGTGACGTTTTCTGTTTCATCATCTGCCATTCTTTTAGTGCCTGATTGTGCTGTTTCAACACTTTTACCTTTATCCTTTACCGATGATTCAGCAGTAGGTATATTCACTGCAGGTAAGTCTTCTTTTCTTATCCTCTCAATGGTAGATTTCGCACTTCCTTCACTAGATACAGGCATTGGACTTTTCTCCATGTTAGATGACTCTTTTACAGTTTCATCACTAAATGGAGGCCTGTTGTTACGGTAAAAGTCTTCAATTCTCAAGTCAGCTAAAGGTTTAACTGAACTGTAATATTCATGATGTGTTGTTGGAGCATAAGATTCAGATGCAAAATCTCTTGAGTAAAGGCAATGAACCAAACGTTTTTGCATTACTGGCTTACAAATCATGCATGTTTTACCACCAATTTCTTGAAGTAAATTTTGACCTAATGTTCTACCATTTGCTGACCAGAACACAATTAGGACAATACATAAATTATCATCACAGATCCTACGTAATTCCTTGGCAGAATTTTTAATTTCTTCAGAATTATTTTCCCGAACATTGAAAAATGCTATATCACATAATGCTTCATGTTGATATTGTTCTCTCCATGATTTTACGGTAGTTATACATTCTTCACATGAACTAAATGCATTTATTCTTTCCACACTACCTTCCACCAATTTAACCAATGTTTGACGGGACAAATCAGAATAATCCACAATTAAAACTCGTTTAGAACGTGTAGATGTATTTAATACATCAGGGACATGAGATATTGTCGTTACGGGAACAGAGGCTAATGATAATCGTTCAATGTTCCAAGTGAACCAAAATCGACTTCCTTTCTTTAATTCACTTTCCACTCCTATATCACCCCCATTTATTGTTACCAAATGTTTGCAAATTGAAAGACCAAGACCTGTACCGTCTTGTCGTCTTGTCATGGATTGATCACCTTGAGAGAAACTTTCCCAAATACTTTTAATAAAAGCTGGATCAATTCTGATTTAATATTAATAAATAAATAAATTATATAAATCAGAAATGTTAAATTACTAAAATATAACTAGAAAACTTATGAATAAATAAATAAATAGGTCATAAATAAATAAATACCCAATTCCGGAATCCATTACTTCCACACATAATCTTCCTTTTTTGACATTTTCGTCATCGGTACTATTTTCACCATCGAGTTCATCCAATGAAACTCTAAGAACAATTTCACCAGTATCAGTGAATTTTAGCCTAAAAAATAATGAAGATTGTTATTATTTTATTACATATAAAATCAAAAAATGAAAATGAAAAGTTAAAATAGAAAACTCACGAATTAGATAACAAGTTAATCAACACCTGCTGCAATCTATAAAAAAAAAAAAAATTTATTTATTTATTTAGAATCTTTTAACTTCATAAATCGCATAATGTTAATAAATGTTTTTAAATTAATTACCTTTCAGGATCCGACTTTACATATTTAGGCAATGAATCAGGATCACAACTCAAGATCAATTCAATTTGTTTATTCCCAGCATTTTCACCAAATAATTCAATAGTTTTTTCCATAAAATCGAATAAATCAAATGTCCTATTAACTAATGTTATTTTTTGTGCTTCAAGTTTCGCCGCATCCAAAATATCGTTCACGACTGATAATACAACATCTGAAGCTCTAGTCATGATGTGAACCATATCTTTTTGATCTTCAGTCAATGGGGTATCTTCGAATGCCGATAAGACTCCAATTATTGCACCAAGTGGCGTTCGTAACTCTTTTTAATATATATATATGTTAGAAAAATTAAAAAAAAAATAACAATAAAAAACTTTAAATGTTTTATTTACCATGAGAAGTATTAGCTAAAATTCGACTCTTAGCTTCATTAGCAGCTTTAGCAGCTTCAATCTGAGCTTCCCGTTTCAATTTTTCTTCCATTAATTTTGCATGAGTGATTGCTAAACTAATTTGATTCGTTATTTGTTGTAAGAACGTCTTTTCAGAATTCAACCATTGTGTATTAGGTGGTCGATTTGCTATCAACCAACCCCAGGTAATTGAATTCTCTCTAATTGGAATCGAAATTAAGGAAACAGGTTTATTTGCTACTAATGAACTGAAATTCATAAGGACAGTGACATCTGTTTCTCGACTATAATCCAATGAATCCTTAATAATGTGTTCTAAAAGTGGTTTAATGCCTTCACCACTTGTCGAAGCACCTGCTTCACCTTCAGCTTGAAGATCACTTCCATATGAGTATTGGAATTTCAAACCTTTCATATTTTGTTCATCGGAATCTGATGCTGCAAATGCTACAACTTCATGATTTGCAAAATTTTGGTTCTCGGATGCAATTATGAATACTCTGTCAGATGGTAAGATTCGAAGAATTTCTTCAACAGCTGTTGTCAAGGTTTTATCTAAACTTAAACCTGAACGAATCTTGTTACTAATTGAGAATAATAATTGTTTCGTTTCTGATTGTCGACGTTGTTGCAACAAAAGTTGTTGACGAAGGTATGAAAGTCTGATATTCACACGAACACGTGCAATTAGATCCCTAGCACTAAATGGTTTCGTTAAGTAATCATCAGCACCTTTTTCTAACCCTATAAATAAAATAGACGAGTTAGATAAACATGCATATAAATTATTAAGAATAAAATATTAAAAATAAAATATTTTATTTATATACATACCTTGAATGCTAGCTTCTTCACCAGCTTTTGCAGATAACAAGATCACAGGAATCAATTGCATTACTGGATCAGATCTTATAGCGCTCAACAATTGGTAACCATTCATATTTGGCATCATTATATCTGAAAAATTAATAGAGTTCATTTAATAACAACAAACATAAATTTACAAGTTTTTAATATTTTGTAAGGTATTTATAATTACCACTCAACACCAAATCTGGTAGAGTTGGATTCGACTTTAATGTTTTCAATGCATCACGTCCGTCACATGCACAATAAATATCAAATTCTTTTTTCAATAAACCGGACAAATAATTTCTAAAAAAATAATTAGAACCAATAAAGTAAAAATTAGCATGAATAATTCATTTAATTCGTTTATAACTTTTTTGTTTTTTTATAGATAATAAAATACCTCATATCAGTGTTATCATCAACAATAAGTACACGATATTTCTTCGTTTCATTAAAGCCAACTGAAATATCATCGAATGGGAACTGATATTTCTTAGCTTTTTCATCATCAAGGTTCATTGATATCCTTTTATTAAAATCATTTTCAAATTCGTCATCAATATCCATTGCATCTTTATCCCCTTCACCTTGCATTACAACATCAGGATCATTATCATATTCAGGTTTTTGTTTAGTTTGAATCCATTGATGAGATTCTTCAAGATATAATTCTCGACTATTAAATAATTGTGCGTCATGAGATAATGCAATCTTATTTTCATCTTCTTCATCTGGGAAATATACTTGTTTAGGAGGTAAATGTTCACATCCAGTAGGTATACATATTCTAAAAGTAGTTCCTTTTTTCACTTCTGACGTCACTGAAATGTCACCACCATGACGGTTAACTAACTCTTTCACCAGTGCTAAACCAATTCCTGTACCTTCGTGACTTCGAGATTGGTTGGATTCAACGCGGTGGAAACGTTGAAATAAGTTTGGAATGTGGTCTTTGGGAATACCCACACCTAAATATAAATTTAATTAATTAATTAATAATAATAATAATGAGAATAATAATAATAAATTATTATTACTATTATTACATTCAACACATTCAACTTGGGTGAGAATTCATACCTGTGTCAGAAATTTCAAGCATGACAACTTCTTGTTCATCTTTATGACTTGGATACAAACGAACCGTGACATTTCCTGTCCAAGTATGCTTGAATGCGTTGGAACCTTTAATACAACAAAATTAGAACGCTAAGATCAGCAACAATTATGATAATAATAATAATAATAATAATAATATGGTAACTATTATCAAATACTTACATAAGTTAAAAACGATCTTTTCATACATATCATGGTCGATGAAAACTTCACGTGTCAATTTCTCATCAAAATCTTTTTGATTAGGAATATCAATAATGTAATCCAATTGTAAAGATCTTGCCATACTCTCAAAACATGACGCCAATTCGAGTGTAATTTTAGATATGTCAGTTTTTTGAAATCGAGCTTCTAATCTACCAGCTTCCATTCTAGAAAACTTTTTAAATATTTGATTTACAAATTAAGGTAATTAGTCAAATGAAGTATGTTTTTTTTTCTCAAAAGTCGTCTAAATTAATAATTAAACATACCTGTAATAAAGTATTAACAAGTTTAAGTAGGCGACGAGCATTACGATTAATCAATTGAAGATTACTAAGAATTGGAGCATCAGGTGAACACATGGAAATTGCTTCCTCAAGTGGTGAAAGCATAAGTGTAAGCGGTGCTACATAAATTTTAAATAATTATTTCATAAGTTAATCATAATAAAATAAATTAATACTAATCAAACAAATCAAATAATAATTATTAAATTACTAACTTCTGAACTCATGGCTAATATTTTGGAAAAAGTTAATCTTTTGACGGTTCAAGTCAGCCAACATTTCTGCTTGCTTCCTTTCTTCTTCGCGTGATTTACCATGAGTCATACTTGAACTTACATGTCCAACAACAAGCTATTAAGGATACCAATTAATGTGAGTAATACGAGAAAAAAAACGAATTTAAAATTGATAATAAGTAAATATATTTAACCTGTAAGAATCCCATGTATTCACGATCAAGAGCTCTTTGCGGATTAATTCCACATATCATAACCGACGTTAACACACTCTTTCCTGTAGATGTGGTAACTGGCAATAGAATTGCCTTAGTATCATTGGGTAAAGTAATAATTTCATGGTCTCCTGTACGTACTACTTTTTGCAGATACGATGAAATGTTGTGACTAAAAACTGATTGGGTATCACTGGAAACCATAGTATTATTATTATTAAAATTATTATTATTATCATTACTATCATCAGAGGTAATAGTTATTCGATCCTGTATATCATTAAGATATTCAGGTAATGTTCTTTTAGAATGACCTATGGTAAATACAAGTTCATCAACACCATCAGCACCTCCAATGGTTTCAAGATCTTCATCAAAAGTTGTTGACACAAGACGAGCTATTTGAGTTTTGTTATTTGTTTCATCAGCTTCGATTAAATATATTAAAGCAAATGGTATATCTTCATTATTATCATGTAACGTTGCAGCTACCATATGACATGAACTTTCGACAGTTTTTGCACCTTTCAGAAAAGGAAAGAAAAGAAAAGAAAAGTGAAAAATGATTAATAAAAAAATATATATATATATATATACATGTGTGTAGAATATATATGCGAATATAAGAAAAATCAAATACCAGGTGTGCGATTTCCTAATTCACCAAGGGTTTTTAATCGCCTTGTGGCGAGTATTCTTTGAGTGGTCTCCTGTACAGCATTAAAGACACCATTAACAGTGCCATCAGCCTCAAATATTGGACTTAAAGTATATGAAAAATAGCATTCTTCGACGTAACCTTCTCGATGGATTAATAGAAGGTTATCATCTCTGAATAAACCTTGGCCAGTGGTCATTACTCTAAATTAAATTAAATAAATTTAAATTAAATTAAATAATTAATTAATTAATTAAATTACCAAATTCAGTCAATAATAATTAATTTAATAAATACTCTGTAAATTTTGGACCGAGATCCTCATCATAAATTTCAGGCCAAGCTTCTTTTGCTGGGAGACCCATTGCTATAGAAAAAAAATTTTAATCTTTAATATAACAATAAAAACATATGGTCATTGGTTTTAGTTGTCACGTGAATAAATAATTACCTTTCGGATGTTTGGTTTTTAGTATGGGTCGATACACTTTTAAAGTTGGTAAAGTTGGTTAACATTGATAATAAATTAAAACTAATTTAACAAATTAAAGTATATAAAATAAAAACCAGAACTTACTTTGATTATATATTAAGATTAATTCTGGACCACAATACACGGCGATAGGGAAAACCGAATGTAGACATAGGTCCTAAACAAAAAATAATAATAATAATAAAATTTTCAATATACATATTCTCAAGATTTGAATTAACCTAATATTTGAATTAGAAGTTGAATAATTACCACAGTCGATTTTAGAGAAGGTGCCCAACTACTTATCGGCCCCAAAGGGGTTTTCGACCAGTCAAAGTTGTAGACCAAATCACTAACCGGTATTTCATCGCGATAGAGGTCTGAATCACCGATTGATTCATCCCCTAGAAGTGACATATATCCTTTTTATTTTAATTTTAAAGATAGTGACAATTAAAGAAAAAATTTAATATACAAGGAAAAATTTTTCATTAGTTTGTTAATAAAAAGACGATAAAATTGATAAAAATTAGAAATCACGATATATAAATAAATAATAAAGTCCGAAAAAGTCTCCGGGAAAATAGAAATAAATAAATAAAGACTAAGAAAATTTGTGTAATCCAAAAATTTAATCGGTCGGATCACTTATTGTCTCTATTTTTTTTTTTTTTTTTCTGATATATTTGATACACATTTATTTACCTGACCAAGGTCTTGACCAGATATATTCCGATTGTTTGGATTCAGACATG